GGTGTTTTCTATTTGCATGCGTGATCATTCAAACTCGTAACAATGTAACCTCACCTGTTCATCTGCGGTAGTAAGGCTGGCTAGATCTGCCTGGAGCTGATGACATGCGTCCCTGGCGTCCTGCCATGTTTTTGGCGTGTTCACTAGCAGGTAACAGGACTGCTTGTTTCTCCTCCAACCGTCTGGACATTCCTGCAAAGACACTAAGATAAAAGACAAGGTTAATGGTATTAGATTATTTACAAGTGATTGAGAATCGCAATGAGCCAAATCATAAAAGTGAAAAAATATGTGACTTGGAAGATTCTTCATAAGGCCACAGCAAGTAAATTTTATGGATGACAGACTCCAAATCTATTAAATGCGAGCGGCCAAAAAAAAATCAAGACGGGCCGAAAAACAAGGTTCCTACATTATAAAATTTTGACTCAATCATGGTTTTGATTCAGTGGGAACATCACATATGCACAGCCAGCATCACAAACAAAATGTCCGGGTGACTCTATGTGAATGTGTTGAGACACCTGAACTGGCAAGTAGGCCGTGTATATGTTCTTAAAACCTGGCTTTTAGAGACCTCTCTTTTTCCCCAAAGTACGTTTCCCGGCAGAGCCCCTTGTTGTTTTTGCCCTGTCAGGGGATATGGTAGATTCTCTTTGGGGGTTTTGCCCATGGGCGCAAACAAGAATGTGTCTTAAAGTAGTGGTTGGTTTGAAACAAGTCGCAATCCCGTGGGAAATGAAAATCCTCCTGAGAGCTTCAGACAAGTCCTTTATGTATGGAAGGACTACCAACCCCTTGGACTTTGTTCCTGCTGAGGGTTTGGTGTTGGGTGGTTTGGGGCAGGTCGCTTTGTTGATGGCCCACTGGGGGTAGCCACAAGTTTTTAATGCTTGGGTCAGGTGGGACTTCTCGGTCTCTAAATCCTGTGGATCTGACACTATGGTGTTGGCTCTGTGAAATAGAGTCCTAATCACCCCTAGTTTGTGGTCAAGTGGATGTTTAGAGTCAAAGTTTACTTGACACTGTAAGGATTTTAGACACTGAACAAGACTATTTCTTGAGAGGGGTGAAGGAAGCCATATACATCTACATCAGGGCCCATCACCCTACATTGAACCGCGACGGGGGCCGACATCGTCTACCAGATACCTTTGACCCAGTATTGATGTAACACTTCAAAGAAGCCACGTGACAACTGACAAGGTTCACTGGGTCAGTCTGCTGAGGAACACCAGAGTAATTGGTCGAAAGCTCTAGGTGAGAGAATTTTTTGTGTTGGACCAAAAGGTGTAACTTTAAACATGTAACTACCAACACAGATGAACTTTCATGATAGTATAACAAAATTTCATTTTTTGTTCCAAAATCAGGCGAAAATTAATGCGCACGATGATGTCATCCATAAAAATTGCTGTGGCCTAAACTTGAAAAAAAAAGCAAAAAAAGAAGTGAGCAGTTTTGTTTGGCTCATTTCAGAAGCTTGTTCTAAAGGCAGTTTGCTTGTTTTGTACAATTTTTTTTGTCATTTTTATTGAACTAGGTAGGTACTAGGTAGGTAAAATGGTCAAATAATATATTATCTAAACGAAATTTAAGGGATCGCTGTTTTTGTATTAAACTAGCAAGACAGTAGGGAAGAATGTTTAAGAGAATTGTAAGCATACACAAGCACACACAAGCACACACACACATGAACAAACGCATATACATACACAATCGCATGTACATACACACACGCACACAGCCACACACAGACATGCACACCTACAAGCATGCAAACACACACACACACACACACACACACACACACACACACACACACACACACACACATATGCATAACGTTACAGAGATACGACTTTACCGGTTGATGGCGATTGTGGTCGAACATCCGGGACCTCCGGAAGACCTGTCTCCGCCATGTTGTTCAAAGTCACAGTAGTTTGGGCCACTTTTAGGTTGACCGCATCAATCCTTGTTTTCAACCTTACAAGCCTGTCTGAAGAATTATAGAAAATGAACTTATTAGAGTTGTTCCTATAAATCTGTTCTAATATAAAAGAGCCATGTGTTCATCGGACTAATTTTGGCAAAGCCACGCAACAGCTAACATGATATACACAGTCACGTATATAAATACAAGGAACAACCTTACGTAAATACACTTCAGTGGACAAACACGATTAGTAACAAATAGGGGCCAGTAAGGTTAATGCTGCACATAGTTAAGTTGTCCTGTTGTACCTACTCTTGTAGTGAGTTATCAAATTTTGATTTTAAAAAAGACTAGTCTTAAATTTAACTCCACATACTGAGAAAAGTTATGTCCAGCTTCTATTCCATTTTGACAACCACGTACTACTAGATCCTGTTTAGTCTTTGGGTCTTTGAATATGCTTGAAGTTGTGCCAGCTTGAAGTGAACGCTTTGCGCTACAGTACTAGTGAGCACGGAGAGAAATGCACAGTTACTTACTTTTAAGATGCTCAGCTTGTTGCCCTGTTAAGATGGAATCTCCCATCTCCAACGACAGAACGAAAACCAACAACATCAGTGTCGCAAGGATACAATACTTGCCTCCCATTCTTGATTACCTGTAGAGGTACTAAACTTTACTTTTCACAAGAAAACCCCTGATAGGTTACTGATCGAAACGAGCTTGTATCGCTTGCTTGATGGTAGACTTTCTCTGGTCTGGCTTAGCACAAACCACAATTCTTCGTTTTGAAGTTGTCGGTCTGGTCTCCGATTTGTCCTGAGCTAACTGCAGAGAAATTAGAATATCTCCTTTAATACATTGGGAACAGAAAAATCAATAATCTGTGAATTGTTGGGTTTAAGCCGTGAGACTGGTGTAAATTCAGTTACGCTCTCAGTTTTGTGGCATTTGCACTAAATCAAGTTACAAGCTGAAAATGACATTTTGGAAAACTTTACGTGTGTGAAAATCAACAATTAGGAACCTTTTGACAATCAAAGAGTCAGGCTATACTTATTTACTTACAATGGCCTGTTCATATTTCGTATTGCTAACAAAATTACGGGTATGGACGAAATAAATCCGTTTTCTACGAACAAGGCTACTCTGGACTTAACTGTCGGAAATAATCGTGGCAAAACTGGTTAACAGGATCAGACATACATGTCAAATAAGGTCATAGCAAACAAATACACATACATGGATGAATCGCAATGAATTAAGGGTCTGTAATGTTTTTTTCTCAGCACCTTGACAACAAAACCACACAGCTTGTCATAAAAACTACAAGAGTATTCAACATCGTCTACAGACGCACAACCCGCAGCAGTCACTCCACTGGAAAACATGCCCTCACTGTGCCAGTCTCTAGAACTCACGCCACCGGCAGAACCTTCATACACACTGCAGTTGACATCTGGAACAGTCTTCCAGACAACGTGGTGGGCCGGATCACTGACAACAACCTCCAGTCATTAAAAACAAGAGTACACCGGCATCTTCTCTCCACCACCAGGACTTCTGCATGTAGCTAGAACTTTGCAACCTTGCTGTAAACCAATGATTAGCCAGGAGTGTTACAATCCAGGCTATTGTTTACATTAGCACATGATAGAAAAAAAACTTCTTTTCCCCCACTGTCTGAAGAAATTGTCCCCAATATAAAGATGTATAACGGCAGCGGAATGACGTGTGGTGAGTAAGTGTTTGTGCTACTGGCCCTTGTGGGAAGTTTGTGTGTGGCTGTCATGACAAGAGTTGCTATACTAATGGTGGTTGGATAGTAAAGAACTGAAAAAATATGATCAAGTTTAAATCAAATATTATTTCTGGACCATTCCAATTTGCCTCAAAATTGTAGGGGTGCATTTGAAATATTACATTGACCGCGAAAACAGCAACGGCAAAAATACACATCCGTGCATCATCACGACTGGTGGATGTCTCAACTACTAAGTACCTAATACCAGCCTAGAAGAGAACAAGAAATAGCCATGCATTCAAGTACCAGAGTAATCAACCAAGGATTGAGGTGTTCAAAAATTCATTCTTTCCTAGAACCATTGCAGAGTGGAACTCACTGTCACCAAGTACAGTAGGGGCATTGTCATTAGATAGCTTTGAACAAAGTCTAAAGCTAGAAGTTCAAGGGTTAGGTGTAACAAGTCGATTGGTGTAATATAGCCAGCTGCCGCCGCGCCGCATGCGCTGGTGTGTTGCGCCGAAAGGCGGTTATACCGGCTATACAGATACAGATACAGATACAGATACAGATCACGGGCATGCCCGCAGACGGCGTATAAAATTGCGTGCCGATTACACAAAGGGAACCCAGTGTTTTGACTGCGAACACGAAAAACGGCTGTTCACAACACTCCATCCGGAGGTCATGACCTCCTTTACGGAGTAATAACAGACGGTATAACACACTGACTTGTAAAACCAAAATATTTATTGGGAGCTTTCTTCCCAAGACGGTACTTAATGCAACGCCCATCCAGTGCCACGCTATCCGGTAGATGCACCAATAACTAAGCAGTTCAAAGTTGAGGTACCGTTAGCCAAGCATTATGGATACCCCATCACCACACAGTAGAGGATTTAGGCCCCTTGGTGACTACCCTGTGCATAGCACAGCAACACATCGTTATTGGTAACGCCTCAGGAGCGAGCCTAAAGTTATAGTATTGTGTGCAATCTCCAAGAATTCTGGGAATTGTACAGGAATTTATGTAGTTCAGCACGAAAACTCAAGATGATATGACTGGATTTGCATGACACTTAGGTAAGTGGGCAAGTCTTGATGAGCCATCCAATGATTAGATTTTGGTTTCTCTAGCGACATTTTATAATATTGCAGCGGAATTCGTTAGACACTCGTGATGAAGGTGTCTAGTCTTGGATGCCCAGGTCCGTCTTGAGAACACGCATGCGCGAGTGGATCTCGTCCCAGTCCAGGTAGCCGCCCTGTAGATGGCGGGACCCGCTGGTCTGGCTGAAGGCGATGCGGCCGTGAAGGGTGCGGGTGTTGTTAAATGCGAGCATCTCACCTAAACAGATCAGACAACACATGGTTACATAAATAGTTATTGTGAGGTCACAGGATTTATGTTAGGTTTTGATAGCAACAGCCGCTGGTGAGGGTCTAAGACAGTCTTTTCCCAGCACGTCCGCAGAACGTACTGCGCCTACGCAGAATCCTGATTTTTCACGGTTTTCGTTGGATTTTTTGTCAACGTTGCATTAGAATTTTGCTTGTTGCAGACGATACTTTTTCCGACATAACGTTTGGAAACTACAGACGGAGTGTTAACCTTATATGCGCGAATACAACCTAATATGGGACATTCTACGGAAGTGCTATGCACAATATATTACGAGTTTCGCGCAGGTGCTGTACGTTCTGCCGACGTGCTTTTTCCCCCTAATAGTAATAACACAGAATTATGTTATACAATATACATACAAGAAACACACATTGCGATCGTACGACTTATTGGCCAATATACCTTACGGCGTTTCAAAACTAGGAATTGCATTTATTACTTCGTTTATCGTAAAAAAAAACAATTTAAAAAAATTAGATACGTTTTGGAAGCAGATTTTTAACATACCGATGTGTATATGAAATGAAAAAGCACATAATGCACAAGCATGCTACTATGAAAAGTTATTAAGGACAATGTAAATTATGCAATCTTATTCTTAATTAAGTGGCGAGTGCTTGTTCATTTTTCAGTTTTAAAAATGCGTTTTGTGTGTGTTCACGTGTCTGTATTTGTGTGTATGTCTGTGTGTGTGTGTGTGTGTTTTTGTACGTGTGTTTAAAACAAGTGTGTATGTGTGCGTGTTTGTGTGTGTTCCTGTATGTGTGTGTATGCGTGTGTGTGTGTGTGTGTGTGTGTGTGTGTGTGTGCGTGTGCGTATGTTTGTGTGTGTGTGTGTGTGTGTGTGTGTGTGTGTGTGTGTGACAAAATAAAGTACTTAAAAACCTGTATCCTGACCTGCTTCCATTTTATGCCGTACACAGTTCTTGGGCAGGTACATGATGGTGTTGTAGGCCTTCAGCGCGTCATAGAGAGACTGGACCTGGTCCTCACGCAGATCCAAGATGGAGTCACGAGCCGGGTCATTAAAGTTGACAGACTTAACCTTGCCCTGGTCGTCTAGGCTGGATAAATGTCACACCAAGTCAATCAGTTATGGATTAGGAACAATAACTATCATCTGGATACATTTATGGCTTTGTCCCTGACACGTCGCAAACAAAATTAGTATTTTCCTCAAAAGAGCTGTTTTAGAAAGAGATTATGTCACACAAGATAATAACCAGCACCAAGATAAAAGTTCTTTTCTCAAGGCAATAACGAGTTCGCCCCTAAGTCGTTCTCAAATATCAGCCGCCAAACAGTTTTTTGCGAGTTTCGGGGTCCAAGGTTCATGTCATTGATATTCATTAATATTACTGTCTTTGTTATACACATATACAATACACCATATGGAATTACCAACGGCCACTAGACACAAAATTCCTTTTTTTGCAGTTACAAACCGCTCTAAGTAACTGCAAGCAAAATAGAAAACGCCTCCACGAGGTATTTCTGGGCTAAAAGCATGGATGAGACTTTATAGGCATCCACTTTACCTGATTATAGTGCGCCTTTCCCTAAGAAAAAACCGGTGATAGTCCGTCCCTTTGTTTTGGAAGTTGACCTTGACCGTTGTGAGAAGTCTGAAGGCTTCTGGGTTCTCTTCCTTCAGTTGGTAAGCGGCATTGAAGCCGTCCACAAGGTAATTGTCGCCCCCCTCCCCCTTACATTGCTCGATGCACTGGAGCATTTGAACCTGCAGATTGGAGACCCTTGTTGTTAAAGAAAGTAAACCATCAGAAAACGAAATCAGAGTGTCTGCGGCAGTACCAAGAAAAGTCGCCAGAGATATCTAATTACTTCCTCCATATAAGACTAAGCTACATACCAAATATCAGGGCAACCCATCCGTATCTGAGTTGAGTTGTGTTGTGTTGTGTTGTGTTGTGTTGTGTTGTGTTGTGTTGTGTTGTTAAACCATATAAAAACAAAATAAACTACAAATCCTGTTAGAAAACCTGACCTTCTTGGTGAAGGTAAAGAGGGAATAAAAAATAGTGTGGTCCTTCCTTCAGAAACCTTCTTTTCCGCAAACAAATATGGTTATATAGAAAAATACAGCACCTTATTTGTGAGAAGTATGGTTTTATTTCCATCAATTTCACCAAAGGTTTGAAACTTTAACAATATTAATTAATACATACGAAAAAAAATGCTAGATATCTTGTCAAAGTTTTCGATATACTAAAAGAAGTACAGCATGTATAGAAAGTCAATAATATAGAAAAAAGGCATACCCCTGGAGTATAGTTGTAATATGGAAGGTCTGTGTGTAGTCCCAGTTTAACGCTGGTGTACGCCACGTTACTGGGGTTAGGTTTCGACATGACCACAAACTCCTTCCTATGTTTACAAAAGGAATAGATGTATTTTAGTTCTACCGATGTATTGAAAAATGGACTTCTACCATCTGTATTGTCGAAACACATATCGGGGAAGTTATTGATGAATAAACAGAAAAGTACAAAAGACAATGTGATCAATAAGACTGCATAAACAGGAATCAGAGATTTAAGATTTTGAAATCATTTTTTCTGACCTAGAAGTACACAGACTGTCTTGGACTATCGTTAAAGGTTAAAAGCTATGCAGAAGCTCGACATTGCATAAAGTCATTACACCACATCCTGCATTTCTCCAAATACCACCTACTTACTTCTACCCTCCGCGTGTTGGGTCATTCAATGCAGGCTTGACCATCCTGTCAATCATTTGTCAACATCACCTCCCACCCACCGTGCAGCAGAAGCGATTCAGGCAGAGAGAGAGGGAGAGAGAGAGAGAGAAACCCGAAATTACCCACCGGAAACAATACCCTCGTAACCGGAAGTAAAGCTCAAATGCAGAACACTGACCCGTAGTTGGTAAGTTTGAGAAACGCCACCCGATTGGCCAGTCTGTCCAGCTGTCCGACCTCACAGGGGACGTTCTGCACCAGAACGAGGCCGACCGAGTCCAGGAGGAACAGGAAGTCGTACAGGGCGCGGTCGTCTGTCAGTAAGGCGGGAAAATCTGCTGTGGGGAAATCATCTGCAAGTTCCGCTCCCCAGAGCCTGGTCTGTGGAAAAACAACAAAAACAACCAAAAAAAAACGGTGTTCCTTCTTCATAAAGTTCATAAAACCCAGTATTTTTTTGCACCCTGTGCACCTCTCCTATTGAAGATCTGAAGAAGAAACAGCATTTGCAACCCAGTGACAGTATTGAAAAAAGGCCCCGCATATGAGGTGTCGCCAAAATCGCAAAAGCAAAACTAGTTTATTACGTTAAAAGCTACAATTTGTCTATAGTATTTGTAAACTTCATAATTACTGCTGATATCAAAATGAAACATATCAAATTAAACATAAAACGATGGAATAAAAGAAAATAGAACTAAAGTCTCTTACACCAACTTACACAGCCATATAAGGCCATGTTGATTTGATTATATGGATGACATCCGCGCGCGCATGAATTTTCGGCCGTTTCAAAGAAAAAAAAGTTTTCAACCATACTGTAAATCGTACAAAACAGTTGCAAAATGAGCAAAAATATACCGTAAGTTACAAAAAACCATACCAATGTCGTAGAATGACAAAATCAAACGAAAAAAGACGGAATTGTAAAGAAATGAACTTGAAGACTAGATTATTTGCCAAACCAAATTCTGTCCCATTTGTTCAACCCTCATGACCACGTAGATTTCATAATGAAAACAACTTTTTTTTTTGCAAAACTTTTTTTTTATTCGCACGCGCGCATCAGTTTTGGGGTTCCCAGAGGATGTCATCCATATAATCAAATCAACATGGCCTAATATGATGTTTGACGTTTTGCCTGGAATCCAGTCTACTTTTATAATTAGGTCCATTCTGCTACAGACTGGATTCCAGGATAAATCAGTGAACTTCTGATTCTGAGTAAGACCTTTGAATTGAGATCTGAGTATCAGACCTTTATACTAGTACTACGAAAAGGGAGCGTAGATTAGAACCTTGAATACTTACCTTTCTCTGCCAGTCTCCCGCTCGCTTCTCCAGTGCCGGAGTGGAGATTACTACCTTGAATACTTACCTTTCTCTGCCAGTCCCCCGCTTGCTTCTCCAGTGCCGTAGTGGAGATTAGAACCTTGAATACTTACCTTTCTCTGCCAGTCTCCCGCTCGCTTCTCCAGTGCCGGAGTGGAGAATAGAACCTTGAATACTTACCTTTCTCTGCCAGTCCCCCGCTCGCTTCTCCAGTGCCGGAGTGGAGAATAGAACCTTGAATACTTACCTTTCTCTGCCAGTCCCCCGCTCGCTTCTCCAGTGCCGGAGTGGAGAAGCACCGTGCCTTGAGCCAGGGCCAGTCGTACTGACTCTGGTGTCCGTCCGGCCAATCAACGGTCAGCAAGCTGCCTGCTGCTACGGGGGGAGGGGGGCATAGATTGTTACATCTCTGGACCGCTTGTTTTACGCCAACCCACAGCACAATCTTACTTTTTTCCTCCGACAGTATTGTTTTTAGAGTCCCTGATTTACGCTGACCACAAAGTGACAGAGAGTAAAGGTCAGAGTTGCCTGAGTAAGTAATTTATACAACTTATGGTGACATTTCAGATCATGGGGTCAATGAGCACATACTAGTTGTGTCGATGAAGGTTAGACATCCAGGTAATACGATATGCCAAAAAACAGTTACTCAAGCAACTGGATATGATTTTGAAAACGTCAGACGTTTCAGCTAGTATCCACTAGCTTTCGTCAGTGACTGAGAGACCAGAGGGGAAAGCAGGTTTATATACACAACCTGTTGATTGATATGCAAATAAAGTGAAGACATACTAGTTGTGTTTTATCAACTCACAAGAGCTGTTTACCATACACAGTTGTTGCATTACCATAGCAGGCCGCCAGGGGCATCCAAATCTAATTATCTGAAGATTTTATGTACCGATTTAATGGCAATCCAAAGGCATGTATAGCCTCTCGAGTTATCGTGCTAGTGACTTGCACATACATACAAACGTTCATACATACATACATACATACATACTCACGGACATGGAAGTCCGTGGGAACTCTACATCGTCAACACAAAGCCATGCTAGTGTATAGGGCCTTGGACAACACTTTACCACCACATATGCGAGGGGTGTTCATCCGGTATAGAGATGAAGCCTCCAGATCCACCAGACAAAGCACATTGGACAACCTCATCATACCGAGGCCCCAACTGGAAGTGTACAGGCGGTCACTGAGGTACTCGGGGGCGACTGTGTGGAACCCCTTGGCACCACATGTACGAGCAGCCCAGTCATTGAGAACATTTAGAAGTATGATAAGGAACATGGACTGATAACGGACTGATGATTTACTATTTATTTTTGTATTATATTTCGATTTGCATTTTGTTTTGATTTTGTATTATACTTTGGTTTGATTTGTAATCCGTGACTCCGCCCTCACCCTCGACCTTGTTGAAAAGCGGTCATATGTATGTACCGAACAAGCTTTCGAGTTTAAATAAAGGCTTACTACTACATACATACATACATACATACAGACCAATATATAATACTACTGTAACAGTACTCTTGGCAAATTCGAAAGTAACGAAGGCTTTCACAAGCCATGACATTTCGTCCGCCCCCTTCCTTGGACAATTTTGACTGCTTTTACTTCGTACTGCAGCTAGGTGTCGCTGCTGCAATGTTTAGTGTTCTTGTTTACGTATACCTTGAACTGCAGCCCTGACAGGGGAAATTCTGACGTCCAAGTCTGCCATCAGAAGAAGCCTTCCGTGGGAATCGGGGTTAAAGCACTGCTGACACTGAGGATAAAATAGAAATAAACAAACATATTTAACTGTCGAAGTTTGATGCCTTTTACAATTTAACGAATAGAAACATGGGAACTCTAAGTTTGATATATTGATTCTTTTTTGACACAACAAAAAAGTACATAGACTTTTGTATGGTGTTCTACAACTTAACTAAAGGTCTAACAAGCTAAATACATGTGTGGATAACGTTACCTTACGTACAGAGTATATGTATGATGTAACAATAAAGGTTAACTATTCGAATTCTCTAACATGTGTTCTTTAATGTATTTTCCTATTTGAACACTGTATTGGTTATCTCCCCTGAGAATGTAGTAACTGTTGCATTTATCTATAGGATCTAACGTATTGAAATCAATTGAACAAGCGGAAAGAAAGGTGAACAGCAATAGGCGCTTATCATTGTAGAGTGTACAAATAAGTGTAGGGCTGTATGCCCTTTAATTTTTTGCATTTTGTTTTTACCTCCATGAAATGTGTCATGGAGGTTATATTTTCAGTTGCGTTTATCTGTCCGTCTGTCCGTCCGTCTGTCTGTCTGTTGGTCAACAAGATAACTCAAGAACGCCTGGATGGATTGGTTTCATGCTTGGTGTGTTGGTAGGGTGTGACGAAAACTAGAAATGATTAGATTTTGGTCCCCCTAGTGGCTTCCCTTGGTACTGCAGCGCAACTTCCGGTTTTGATATCTCGCGATCTGGACATGCTAGGGTCATGAAATTTTAATGGAAGGTAGCTCTCGTGCTTGGAAAGAAGTCATATGAGTTTGGGCCCCCTAGCGGCTTGTTCTGGAACTGCAGGGCACTTTCTGGAGAAATGTTTAAAAGCCAATAAGTCCAGACAGGAACAACATATTTTCATCATTTTTGGTGTGTAGGTAGCTGAGAGAGAGATGTACATAATTAAATGCAAATCATGCAAACGAGGACTTTATTTGCATAATTAATAAGGAAATTCTATAATTACAGTGTTTTACATTATACTACTTACATACATGTAATGTATGTAACCTATGGCAGGCGGAACTTCAACAGATACTAATTATGCAAATGATGACCTAATTTGCATAATTAAGATTTCGTAATGGTGAATGATGAGAATGTCATACTTGGGACATCTGTAAGTTAATCAAAAGTCAACATACATCACGATGCATATATCATGTTAATGCAGAGGTCATTTGCACAATAAAAGAAGAAATTTACATTTACATATCAAGATCATATTTCATGGAGGTATGAGATCTCGGAATTCTAGTTTATTGTGTATTTCTAGTACGTTTTGAGGGAAGTGGGTGAGGCTAAGGAGCGATGTCCATATCAATTTTCCTGCTAAATAAACACGGTCACCATTCGCCAAAGCCGGTTCGTATTTGGGGTCAACCTGCTAAAAGAGCCAATGACACGTGTTGACACAGCGTCTACTTCCCGACCGATCGAAGTAGCACGAACTTTGGACCACTACTTGAGTTGAATACGTTTTAAACATTGCGGAATGCATTTTCCAGAACGGTTAAAATATACAGATAGGACCAGTAACAGATACAGCTTCTGTCACATTCGATTTTGATGTCATAAACTTATCAAGCACGCTATGTCAGAACCAAACACCGACAAAAGCTTTTTACCGGGCATGACCGCTAAATTTTGTACGACAAATGCACGACTATTCAAAGAATGACACAAACACACACACACACACACACACACACACACACACACACACACACACACACACACACACACAAACACACACACACACACACACACACACACACACACACATTGCTATCGTACGAATATATCGTATGACGTATGTGACCAGGTCGTGACACGTACACATACGAAGATACATGTATACGTCAAATTTAGAGACGAGCAACTTGATACCGGGCTCACCTGACAATTATCCCTCAGCCACACATAGGGAAACCTGCTCACCCCACCGCCAGACCACTCCACTTCCACCACCCTACCAGCTTCGTTCAGACGAACTCTCTCCATCCTCACACCTTCCTTAGACTTTATGCTCTCTGTTAAACCACAAAAACTTTTGGTAGACACCCCCTGTACAAGTTGTCGAGGAAATATAGTCCAGAGAAGATTACTAGCCTGCTGTAGTTGAGGTGTAGCTTTATCTAAACACGGTATTCTAGACTTTGCTCCGTGTGAAGCCAACTTCAGACATTGCCCTGGTAGAAATGAGATAAAACGTGGATGTTGGCGGGACAACGGTCGATGTACGGACCGCCATAGCACCATAGGTATCGCCATGTTTGACTTATTGAGTAGCTGGTAACCTGATCAGCTGCTTTGGACAGACCCTGTTCTTGCTGGGTATACTGTGACTTTGTCACCATGCAGGAGTTGCGTCATTCATTGTGTTCACTGAACTATATAATGATGGCGCTATGCCAGATTTGACCCTTGGTGGAAGAATGGGTATACCGCTTTTTATGTTTACCTTCACAGGTATTTTTGGTGGTAGATAGCTCTTGTCATGTATATCTGTTTCCGTGAACGAGTATTTTCCAAGGCCATATTGTGTTTCTACTTCTGATTGCTAGGTGGCGCTGCAGTATAGTAGGAAGATCGCGGTTCCAAACCTTATAGCAGAGTGTATTCGTTTCCAAACATGGTACCAGATATGGTACATGGATGCACGCACCCGTAATGCATCGTGCATAGTTCAACAGACGCAGTAGGCTCTACCGACGTGCTGCATACATGTTGGATAAGGTCTGTAGGGGAGGGTCAGCCATTCGCCATGCGCACGATATATTCCTGGACTAATTAGCTTCGCCAAGAAGGTTATGTTTTCAAAGGCGTTTGTGTTCGTTCGTGTGAGACCTAGAAATATTTCTTCATAAAATAAGTTGATTTAAATCTACTCCATTGTAAATACCTGCCGTTCTGGATGTGGAGGTGCCAAAATATTACACCGTGCGAGTGCGTTTAAAAACTGGAAACACAGATGTTATTCATATATCCATGTTTGTTTACATTCTCCTAGTTTGGTCCGCGCTAAGACCAAAAAATAGCTTTCCGCTCCCAAACTGTGGACCATGCACGAGCGACACCTAGCGATTGTTATCAGAAGTGATTTCCCCCACTTACTAGGTGCTGTCCTTGGTGCTTAAAATACCCACCAATTGCAACCAGTAATGTTAACTTGTTTTCTGTTCCCGACTTATAGTAGAGCGATAGGCATTCTAATTCCATTACTGAAGCGTTGAACTGAATTTAGAGAATGCACAAGTACGACTTTGTCCTCATATTTCCTGTATGCTGACCCCAGGCGCGAACTTCGTTTAACTAGTTATACTTGCAAAGGCTACGTACATAAAGCAACATTGCATTTACATGTGTACGGCATCATGTTGAAAAATAGTTAAGAAATTAGTAAAAAGAAAGGAGCTAGTACAAGCTAGGATTTGAACTAGGATGAGAATTGTAAAACCTTATTCTAAAATCCTCACCCTCTACTCTACGAAGCATAAGGCCACACCGTCTTGATTTTATGGATGACATCCTCAGAAGACGCCCAAACTAGTGCGCGCGGACGAATAAAAAAAATTCCGGAAAAAAAAAAAATGCGGCAGTACATAGCGACGTATACGACAAGCCGGCACAAGGTGGCTTTGCGCGGAATTTATGAATCGGCACTGAAGTTTCGGCAGCCTGGGTGCCATCCTCCAGAGTTACCACCGGCTCCGTGTTGTCGCTAACTGCCATGGACTACCCAGGCCTATAGCCTCAGAGACACGGAGGACGTGATCTTTAAAAAAAAAACAGGGGAAAATCAATGCGCGCGCGGATGTCATCCATAAAATGGACCATCCTGTCAATAGTGCATTTTTTCTGTGATTGTCAGGACCATCCTGTCAATAGTGCAAATTTTCTCTTATTCAATCAATCAATACCCTTTCTTTATACTGGAAATACCCTTTCCGCCTTAGCCACTTTTTCCAGAGGTCCAGTTGAGGGGGGTGGTCACGGGAACACAATAAATAAGTAAATAAAATTCAAATTAATACAAAAATAAACTACTAAATACCTAACATAATAATCACATCTTGTCCAAAATCACAGTCCGCAAATCAGTCCGCAGATCAAATTTCTCCACTACCGCATTCTTTGTTTGAAAGTTGTCACTGATGGAGCACACTGTGCATCCTCTGGTATGCTGTTCCACATGATAGCCCAAGATACCATCAGTTTCAGGAAGCTCGCCTGGTGTTTCTAGACAATTTCTGACAGCAATGACTACACCAACTACGACTACAAAAGACCGCTTCGCATTTCTGTGTACTCACGGTATTTTCCACATACACCAACTACACTGATTACACTACAAATAAACGAGGGTGTATCTGACCTAGCAACTTTCATTTATCGAGCGTGGGGGAAAAGAAGAAAATACCTGTATTCATAACACATCAACAGTTTTGTCACTTTTTGTTACTTGAACTGCACGTTTGTTTTCTCTTATTATGGGTTCACCACACCACGAAGTGGTGTGGTGAAACCATATTGCTTTTTCTGATGTTTCTTCTTCTTCTTCTCCTCCTCCTCCTTCTCCTCCTGCCATTTTTTAAATGGATTCAGCTTCTTCATTTTAGGGCCTAAGGTCCTGAAATTTGGTATGGAGGTACAGTGGGCAAATACCCCTAGGCATTTTTTAAATTATTGTGATACAGGCTTTTAGAATGGTTTTATTTGAGTTTTTTGGCTGTGTTATAGCAAATGTATTACTGTGTTAGTTTGCCTTGTTTACCACGTTTGGGCATGAGTCATCACAATGGAATGCAGGGCATCAACCAATAGGCATGCAGCTTTCCTCTATACTTCTTGCTGATTGGCTGTTGGGATTTAACTTGATTAACACCTGCACAGAAGCATTTCCATACTGACAGTATGTCTGTATTCAAGTGTTTTGGTAGGTATTTCAAGCTTTCCTGCTCCAGCATTGGAATGCCGGGCATGGACGTTTTTTTTTTTATTTTGAAAATCAACAGTTTGCATTATGCAATTAAAAATCCTAACCAATAAAGTAGGGAATAGCTATCCAACTGTTGTTTTAGTTGTATTTTACTTCATATTATAGTTATATCAATGTAAATCATTGTTTTCCCTTGTGTTTCTCATTCTTTCCCTGCCATGTGGTAAAATGTGGTGAACCCATCGCTGTATTTGCTCCAAAGCAAATATTGGCCTTTCTAGTTATGTTTGATTTACCTTATGTACTTGTATCTATTTTGTGAGATCTTGGTTCATTATGTACAGATTTGTTTATTTTGCATTTACAATCTGTTATGAGTTCACTTTGTTCACAATTATTGTATATAGCCTACCTTTATTTGTGTTCATATTTTGTTTGGATTCTGTTATCTGTACCTTTGATTCTCTTTTGTTTATGTATAATTCATTGAATCGGTGTCGTATAAGCCCACACGGGCTGGGCGTAGCCTCCTTCGCAGTCTTGTTGGGCGTGGGCGTAATTTTTTCTCTGAGCGACGCGAGTAATATGCCGCCGCGAGGGACGATTTGCTGCCGAGGGACTTTTGCCACGGAGAGAAGGTTTCCGCGCTCCAACAAGACTGCTTCCAATCGGCGACTAGAAAGGGCTATCAAAAAACACTTAGAAGCGATTGGCATGGATGTGTGAACTTCCCGCAATAAACACCACCAGTGCAGGGAGGTGTTCACGCCCCATTCCTCGACGAGCCGAAACTTGCAACTTTCTAGCGTTCGCCGATCAACCCGTCGGTAGAACGCCAACCATTCCCGAAAACCGAGCCCTATCCACTCGACAAAATCCCGTAGTCATTGCTGCTACGAAAAACAACTTTAAACAGATCACTACCACAGGAACCCGCAAGCTAAGCGATATTGCTGGGGGACGTGGACAGATAAACAAAGTGCCGCCATGTTGTTTGGTGGCGGGTTGATCTCACTGGTCATAGGAGGGTAACGCACCGCTCCGCAGCAAGTTGTGTAATAAAAATAATGGCACATTTCACCAGCAAAAATAGTACTGCAAAGTTTGTCTTGGTTTGTTTGCATGGGATGCTTATATATGCACAGCAATGCCTTTGTTGTAACATTACCAATGTTCAACCTTTCTCTGTTGGAACCTTCCACTATAACGCAAGCTAATAAAACCAACCGTTGACAAAAGGCGAGCGCTCCATGCGTATCTGTGAATTACCCTTGCGCGAACATGTGAATTGGACCTGCGCGAACATGTGAATTGGACCTGCACGAACATGTTAATAGCCTCTATGAAAGGCTGGCTTAATCCGAGGTCCTTTCTAGTCGCCGATTGGAAGCAGTCTTGTTGGAGCGCGGAAACCTTCTCTCCGTGGCAAAAGTCCCTCGGCAGCAAATCGTCCCTCGCGGCGGCATATTACTCGCGTCGCTCAGAGAAAAAATTACGCCCACGCCCAACAAGACTGCGAAGGAGGCTAGGCTGGGCGCAGGAAAGCGCACGACACGAAAATAAAGTCTCATTTATTCATTCATATACATGTACAAAACCCCCAAACGATTTTATTGAATTAAACGTTCCCAAAAGTTCTGACGACACCAACAGCGACTACAAAGGGCGCTTCGTATTTCTGTTAACTATCAATATTCTCAACTATACACTACAACAGCACGAACGATCTTTCCATTGCCTGACTAGAGTAACTACATCAACTATTCTGTCTATCCTGTCTAAATGTCTAAAGCTTGGGAATTCATCTATTACATAAGTATAGAGGGAATCCCTCTCGTTTCTATATAATATGCAGTCAACTACAGATAATGACCGGGCACAGCCCGGCACTAACACGCGGTGAAGGGCGTGCTACAGCCCCGCGCTGCGATAGCTTGCTGGCGATTTCGTGAGATGTCTTACATGACGACTCCACGGTGTTGGACTGGTTCAGTAATTACCTTCGCCAAGAATTGACGAAGGTTATGTTTTGCTGGACGTGTGTCTGTGTCTGTCAACAGCAAAACTCGAGAAGGCTAATGCTGAGGTCACATTTCCAAACCGGGGCCCGGCCGGGCAGCTTTTTGGAACGAAAAGCACGATGTAAAAGTCAACAAAACACAGAAACGTTTTTGATGATAATCATGGGCACTAAATCTAGTATATACTCTTCATATGGATTGTTAATTTTTCGTTCA